GGCAGGGTGACTTGGAAAACCTCACGTGGCCCCCAAAAGGATCCCAGGAGGCTTCCACAAGGCCCCAAGAAATTGTTACAAAATTTCGTCCGACTTACTCGAGGTTTTCCTGGGGTGAGCCTCCACAACCAAAAACTGATGATGGTGGCGAATTCGCAGGATAGGGTGAAAATGAAGAAAAGGAAAAGGAAACATGAGGGAAGGATAACGAATAACAGTATTGCAACGCCGATGCCGAAATAAGGTAAAAACGAGTTGTCGCGAAATGCTATGTTTACCTATTGCCTTCCTGCCTGCATGCCAAACCGTGGCGCGAAGCGCCAATATAGTCTTGTGAGTGTGTGTATATATGAGTATATATATATGTTTGGCTTGGCATTTGACTGCAGCGCGAACACCGCCAAGGCCGGCGCAGCGACCCTCAGGGACCCCAGCTGCTCCCCCGCAGCACCTTGGGCGTCCTGGATGGCGATTTGAAACATATAGGTGAGTATAGCAAGTGAAGCTGACGCGGGCTGAATTGGGATCCCGTCCTGGTTCCTCCAGACGGTGGCTGACCCAGGCTTCTGCATTGCACGGGCTGGACAGAGCGAGACGCGAGCAATCGGACCTCGGGCCACGCATTTCCACATCTGGACAAGGTCTTACAAAGGCACGAGCGCCGGGGTGGGGAAGCCGACGGCTTGCCACGCCATCCTGCACCGCTGGATGGCTGGGCTGGGGGCCTCCTTATCGGTAGGGTCTCCTGCAAAACCAGCCTCGCACTGAGGCCCGCACCTCTGGTCGTTGGCGAGGAGGAGGATGACCTACACGCGTCCTGAAGGTGTCACAGGCGTCCCACTAAGCCGCCTGGGATTTCAGCCAAGGCTTGATACTGGCTCAGCAACGCTGGCATAATTACCTGGTATGCTGACCAGGCGACGCGCCGCGCGTCAGAAGGGCCGCGCCACCTTCGCGCGCGCGCCCTCGCGGCCGACAGGGGTGCGATGCCACATGGAGGGGAGGAATGCCAGGCAAGAAAGGGCCAGGGACCAAGAGCCAGGGGAGGAAACGTGACAGCGGGGGGGCGTCCCGACCATTTCCCACCCCACGTCCCACCCACCCCAGGGGGAGGGCACCAACGGCCGGCGGGGGTGCCGTCCCCAGAACCCCCCCCCGACGCCCTCCGCCTTGTCCAGCAAGTCACCGGCTCTAGTTCTATTCCGCCGATACAAGCGACAATCGACCACTTTGGGTTCCCCGGCCATCCCGGCGTGCTCACTGGGCCCCTGGCGTATGCGGGGTGGAGTGAGGAGGACGGTGAGGAGGACGACGATGAAGGAGTGGAAACGTGCCTCGGATGTAAGCTTTAGGGGAACAAGCAGTGGCATAAACATAAAAACTCGGCGGTCCTCGCGGATTTCTCGGATCGGCGCTGGACCCCCCTCCCTGGCGCGCGGAGCGCGCCAGGGGCGGCGCCGGAGGCGCCGCAGGGGGGCCCCCAGCGCCGATCCGAGAAATCCGCGCGGACCTCCAAGCTTTTATGTTTATGTCACTTTTTGTTCCCCTAACCTTCGGCCGCGGGCTGACCCCTCGCACCCTGGCCCCTTGGGGAGCGGGATCTGGCCAAGGCTCCTACCGAGTAGTGCCTTCACGGTCACGAAAGCCAGAGCCCCCGCCTCCAGGCCCCGAAGAGAGACCCCAGGAGGACCGCCGAAGACGCCTCGGAGGCACAAGAAACCGCGGGGAAGCCACAGGGCGGCCTCAAGAAACCCTCTGGTACTCGTCCTCCTCATTTTTCCTCGTCCTCCTCCACTTCCTCCCTCTCATCTCACAAACGGGTCGGCTTTCGAGGCGCCAGGTGTCCGTGGACGATCGCAGGAAGGGCATTCGTCAGGGAGGAGATAGGAGCGGGCACCAAAATTAGCGGTGGTCATGGATACAGTCAACCCGTATGATAAGGACGCACGAGAAGCATGCAAGGGCCTTTGAAGGCCATGCTGGCACCTTGCAAGCGGGGCGCGGCCAGCGAGAGTGGCCAAGGATGGGCCGAGGGGGAAGGATGCAATGGTAACCTTGGAAAGTGGCTCACCAGTTGGCCTCGGCCCTCGGCGTCGGTGGTGTCGCTGGCCTCGTCATTTGTCGTTGTCAGCCTCGGCGTCATTGTCGTGGGCCGCGTCTTCGTCGTCGTCGTCTTCGCCGGCCTCCTCGGCGTCGTTGACTGCAAACCGCTGCCTCGGAGCGATGGTCTCAGGAGACGCCCTGGGGCTACTCGACGACGCCGCTGCCCCCGACGCGGACGCACCTCCCCAGCGCTCGGTGCGCCGGCGGAACCCTGCCCTCGAGAGCAGGCATGACTGGCCAGCACCGAATCGGAGGACCAGATCGAAGCGGAAATCTTCATCGGGTCTAAGACGATGCCAGGACCAAAGCACATTCAGGTGAGGATACATCGGGAATCTCTGAGATCCAGCAGCTCTGGAGGATGTCTCGGGCGCCGCGGCCTTCTCACAGCGTTCAAGGGCGCTCTGAGCTTTCTGGAACGCTCCAGAGCGGTTTATCCTCGTCCTGGCCCCGTGTGAGATCGGATCGAATCGGAAACTTGCATCGGGTCGTCCTGCATCAACTCGGTGTCGAAATCGGATCGGATCGGCCGCGCCAGGTTGCTCGGCAGCGCCGTCCGAGCACTGGGTCCTCACCGGATCGTCAAGATACTGGACTCGAGTCAGATCGGGGCACCAGAAATCGACATCGAGTCAGTTGGGATCGGATCGACTGTGACCATGAAGGAGTAGCGGCGGTTGGTTTCTGCCCTGGTATCGGGGTCGCCGCCCCCTCCTCCCGTCACCTCCACAACCTACGTACCATGAGGACGGCAACGATGGATGGCTCTGTGGGCTCCTGCTAACCTTGCCCTGGACTCCTGCTCTAACTGCTGCAGCTCGGACGATGGCTCTCGTGGACTCCCTCGCCCTGTCACTCCTGTCAGTGTCGCCCGGGACTCCTGCTCCAGCTGCTGCAGCTCCTGTATCTGGCTGGACAGGATGGACTCCTTTCGCACGCTGCCCGCGAAGAGCCTCACAGCGGGGGGGGGGGGCAGAAGATCCCCCTCGGGGCGGGCTTTTGACGCTCCACTGCTGGGCCGTGGGCAACTCCGCATGCGCGACTGCGCACGCGTGCGCGCCACGTGCGAACGGGCCCACACGAGCGCACTGCCCTTGCCGTCGCTCGGACGTCAATTTCCCGTGCATTGTTCGGTCTCGTGCGTGTTTTTTTGCTCGATGGTCCAGGATGGTCCTCGATGGTCCTCGCCGAGAAAAAATGCACACGTCCGAGCGATGCCAAGGCACTTGCGTGCGCGCGGACGGAAGAGAGGTAACGGGCGGAGGCGGAGGATCGGGACTCCAGCAGCCGGGGACTGCGGCAGGCCAGGACCCCGGCGCGCCCGACGACACTGCAGCCGCAGGCCGAGGCATGCCTGGGACACAAACAGATCGCGGATACTGCAGGTTCGTGCCGTGTCGACCCTGGCGTTGGTTCCTGACACCGCGCTGGATCGTTCAACCTGGAACGATCGGCCGTCTCCGCAACGTCCGATCGTTCCACATCGATCGATTCTGGGCCGCCGGCGGCGTTCAACCTTGAACGCCGCTGGCGGGGTCGCCGCTGGTCGACACGACACGAACCTACCGTACATGGATGCACATGGACACGGACGAATCGTGAACTTCGCTTTCTGCACATGGATGAAGATTGGATTCGGGACAAAATCATGGATACTCGGAAGCCGGGCAAGGGCTGCTAAGTCCGTAGCTGCTAAAATCGACCTCCGGGAATGTGTCTTCGTCTTTCCGGGAAGAAGCTCGTTGAGTGTTTCGCGTGCCGCGCCTCATTCCGGGACGTTGCTTTTTCCTTCCGGGAGGGCCGTTTTAGCAGCCACGGTTTTAGCAGCCCTCGCCGAGCTTTCGAGATACATGGATGAATCTTGGTTTCTTCGTTTCCTGTGCACGGATACAGACAGGCCATGGTTTGCGATGCCCTGGTCAGATTCTTCGTTTTTCGTTTTCTGGATGAATCTTCGATTCCTCGTTATTCGAGATTCCCAGCTGCACATGGATGAATTGAGGCTTTTTCGTTTTCTGTGCACTGGTACAGACAGGCCATGGCTTGCGATGCCCTGGCCTATGGGCCTCGGCAAGGAGCTCCCCGGCCAGGCTCCGACCACCCCTGCAGCGAGCGGGAGGGCGCGCGCGGGCGCAGGGAGGAGCCCCTCCGCCCGCGCGCGCCCGTCTCGCCCTACTCTGGGTTTCTCGATCGGCTTATGATGCTCCAACCTACTTTAGCCTTGACCGCCAGGAAGAATTTCGGGCACCCAAGAGTACCGAAACTCAAGGGTTTTCTCGTGTCGAGCCCTGGGAGGCACTCGCCCGACACTGTTTCGACACTGTTTCGACAATCTTTTGACACTTTTCGGGGTGCTCGAAATTATTTCTGGGCTGGGGTCCTTAAGTAGGATGGGAACAACGTAACAATAGGCGTGGGGGGGGGGCCCCCCCCGACGGGGGTCAACCTCGCTTCGTCGCCGCGCCGCCACGGGGGTCAGAGCGCCTTCGGCGCGCGGTGGCTGCCCGCGACGAGGGTCGATGTGGGGCTGTCGGCGGGGGTCGATGCGGGACGCTTATGAAGAAACTTGGGGTTGGTGTCCCTGCTGTCAGGGTCTGCCTGTGCCCGTCTTGTGTGCCTGCCTCGATCAGCGCGGCCCCGACTCAGATGCACCCGCGGCTGCTTTCCCGCTGCGGCGATGCATGAGACAGCGTGTCTGCCCCTGTCTGTCCGCCACTCTGTATGCTTGTCTGTCTGCCTGCCTGCCTGCCTGCCTGCCTGCCTGTCTATCTGTTTGTCTGCCTCTGTCTGTCTGCATATATATATATATACACACGATATCGCAAGAGAGCCCCAACAGACGTTAAGAATACGGTCAAGGCGTTGAACAACACCGGGTGCCTCGATGCTGTTGGCTTTCCCACATTGGGCGTCGCCTAAATAGTGTTGTCATCACACGGGTGCATGGCCTGCACTGGCCCGGGCTGCCTGGGGTTCTCTGGTCCTGCTTCCTTGCCATGGGATTGCCTGGAGATCCTTGGTCTCGTATCCTTATCGTGGCGTTCCTTGGAATCCCCTGGTTCTGATTCCTGACCGTGGCGTCCGTCGGGGTTCCATGGTCCTGGATCCTTGCAGTGGCGCTCGTTCGGTTCCTTGGTCTTGGTTCCTTGTTGCCTTACTCGGGTTCCTTGGTTTTGCTTCCTTGTTTTCTCTAGGTCCCTTGGTCTTGGCTCCTTAGTCTTGACTTCTTGGTTCCTTGGTCTTCGTTCCTTGATTCCTTGCCGCCTCCCCACGCAACGCCAAGCTATGTGCCGCCTGGCCCACTTGAGTTCACAAGGCTGCCCTGGGGCAGCCCCAGGCCGCCCTCGTTGAGGCGGCTCCAGGACGGCCCAGGACCACCCCCCGATTGATGTGGCCACGCAGGGTCTCTAGAGCCGTCCCCGAGGGCCCGCCCCCAGCCGGCGGCCGCATCACCGCCCGAGACGCCCCGAAGATCTCTGGCGGACTCCCAGGAGGGTCACGCGAGAGCCCCGGGAGATACAGTCGGCCTTGATTGGACAGGACACGCGAGAGGACACAAGACCCTTCCGAGGGCCACGTTGCCATGAGGGATGTAAGAGGCATGGGTTGCGAGGCACAGGGCACAAAGGTACCTCTGGGTACCCTTGATTTGGCAGGGTCGACCTACTAATCAGGGCCGACTGTACCTGGGACGTCGCAAGATGCGAAACACCCCGGGACGCCACGTGCTACGGAACTCGTGGCCACGGGGAAATTCAGCTGTGGCATGCCGTGGCACGGTCCCCCGACTGGGAGAGCGAGGTGCTGAGTGATGCCATGTTGCGGCTCTCTGGGATCCGAGGAAGAGAGGTGCCACGTGTTGCGGCACTCCACGCAGGCCGTGAGAATAGCGTGCGGCTTGTAACGGCCATCTGCAGTTTGAGGACGAGTTCAGTCACACCTGACGGTATTGTGGGCGATCCTGGCCGCGCTGCCACACGGAGTGCTGCGCAGGCACGGTGCCATAACTCGCCGCCTGCCGTTGGCACCTAAACCTGTTTGTCTCTCCTGCCCTCCACTCGGCCCCATCTGCGCGGCAGGGACTTATCCATATCCGCCGCCTGGGAACCGACGTCCTGGCGCCCCAGCGGGCGGTGGATATGGACACATGTTGCCCCCCGGGGGCCCGAACCTGTCCACATCCACCGCCTGTGGAGGTCTGCGAAGATCGATCCCCCGGGCGGCGGTTGTGGATCTATTCCCGCCTCGGCCCGATCCCCTCGCATATCTGAAGGGGCCATGGAACACAAACACATCAATACACACACAAAACAGGATTCGCCATATATTATGGTATCTTCTGGGTTTTTGTCTTCCTCCCCATTTCCCATACTTTCTCATACTTTCTGGGAATCGACGATTGATTATGTCTGTATGTTTTTTCCCCTCTTCTCTGTGTCTCTTAATACGCGTGGGGGGGTACCCCCCCCCGACTGGGGTCAGCCTCGCTTCGTCGCCGCGACGCCACGGGGGTCAGAGCGCCTTCGGCGCGCGGTGGCTGCCCGCGACGGGGGTCGACGTGGGGCTGTCGGCGGGGGCGACGCTCCCCCCCCCCCCCCCTGGACGCTTAATGAAGAAACTCGGGGTTGGTGTCCCTGCTGTCAGGGCCTGCCTGTGTGTGGGTCCGTCGACGATTCACTGTGTCTGTGTGCTTTTTCCCCTCGGCCGAGGCGAGGTCACGGGGGCGCGGGTCCAGAGCAAGGGCCCCGTCGCCGGAGGCCCAGGGCCCCGCGGAGATACATCCAGAGTGGAGGGCCCAAACACGAAGAACACGAGGCAGGGCGACGAGGTCTATACAGGTAGGGCGACGAAGAACACAAGGTAGGGCGACGAAGAACACAAGGCAGGGCGACGAGGTCTATACACGTCGGCCAGAAGAAGTAATTAAAAGCATGAAGTAGGAAGGCGGATCTAGTGGATTGGGTCCAGGCCCTCCCAGAGAATAACAAACACACAACAAAAGCATGCCGATTCTTGAAGTAGGAAGGCGCTTGGAGTAGATCGGGATCTGTGAGTCCAGCAATACCTACTTTCAACGACCGGCGTGTACACATCCACTGCTCCTGGCCAGGGCCATCCTGGGCCCAGGAGCGGTGTAGCTGCCTCCCTGGCCAAGCCAGGAGGGCGTATAACACTGCCCCCGGGCCCAGGATGGTCCTGGCCAGGAGCAGCGGATGTGCATAGATCTCGTCACCCCAGCCAGCCAGAACTGGTTACCCCTGACCCTCGTGCCGACTGCGTCCCCGCCTCCCCGCTCCACTTCTCCCCCCTGCGCATTGACCCGTGCTGCCCTGCCCTCCTCTCGTCGCTCCCCTTGCCATCGCTCGGACGTCCATGCCCCGTGCATGTGTCGGCTTCGTGCGCGATTTTTTTCGCAAGGTGAACAGACGTGCTCCTCGATGGTCCTCGCCGAGGAAGAAAAACGCAGACGTCCGAGCGGTGCCAAGTCCCTGGGTCCATACCACAGTCCGCCAGCCTTCACCGAGGCCACAGGCGACGCACAGCCAAAGGCGCTACAGAGCACCGAACCAAGAGAGCAGCGCTTGCAAGCGGGCCCGCCGTGGGAGATCTGCAGTGAGGGGAGCAGCAAATTCCAGAAGCATGCATTCTTGAAGGGGCCCTGGGACACACAAATAGACACAAATAACAGGATTCAAACGATTTCCATACATTTTCTGTTGTTTTTGTCTTCCCCCCCCACACTTCCCATGTTTTCCCATATTTCCGGGGGAATCGACGATCAATTGTGTCTGTGTGTTTTTCTCCCTCCTGAATTCTCGGAGCTCCAAGTGGATGTCTTGGATCGGCGATCGTAGCCCCCTCTCTGGGGCGCGCGGCGCGCCAGGGGCGGCGGCGGAAGCGCCGCCAGGGAGGCCCCAGCGCCGATGCACGACATCCGCGCGGAACTCCGAACGCTCATGTCTATGGAGTCGTTTCCTCTTCGACTCCGCTCCACGAGCCTCGCATAGTACTTCAGCGCGTGCTCGTCGTCCTGGAAGCGGGACTTGTTCGACGGCGACTCGGGGGGCTCGTCCGCGGTAGCCCCCTCCGACTCCTCTGGCAGGCGCGCGCGAAGGGGTGGCGTCAAGGGGGCGCCGCCAGAGTGTGTCCATGTCCACTGCCGCGGGGTCGCGTCCCGAGAACCCGTAGAGCAATGGATATGGATATCTGCTGGCCCATGCGGTCGGGCAAATGTCGGGCTTCTACTGCCCCGGGTCAATCCAAACCCGGGTCAGTCCGGCTTTGCAGGATCCTGCAAGCTCCTGCAAGATCCTGCAGGATCCTGCACGCTAGCCCGGGTCAATGCAAACCTGGCTTTGCAGGATCCTGCAACATCCGGCGCTCTGGCTGAGCCCCGCTTGCATTGGCCCCGCCTCTCAGCACGGGGGAGGAAGATGAGAAGGATGAGGAGGAAGAGGAGGAGGAGGAGGAGGAGGAGGAGGAGGAGGAGGAGGAGGAGGAGGAGGAGGAGTAGGAGGATGAGGAGGAGGAGGAAGAGGGGTCCTCAGTGAAACACGTCCTGGACCTTGGAACCCTTCCCCAGGACCGGGTCTTCACCCCGAGCCGTCTCTTGACGGCCCCTGGGCCCGTGGGGGCCCCCGAGAGCCCGACTACGGCGAACAACAAAAACTCGACGATGACGATGACGATGTCATCGTCAATGTCGTCGTCGGCATCGTCATCGGCATCGTCATCGTCGTCGACCCGTTTCCCTCAGGACCCGCTTCCCTAAAGGGAAATTAGGACACACAAATAAATACACACAAATAAAAATAGTCCCCATATTTTCTCATATTTTCTGGGTTTTTGTCTTCCCCCCCAATTCCCATATTTTCCCATATTTTCTGGGGGATCGACGATTAATTGTGTCTCTGTGTTTTTTTCCCTCCTGATTCCCCCATGGCGAGTCTCCAGGCTCTCGCCACCTCGCTCGGACGTCCTTTTCTCCCGTGCGTGGTCTGTCTTCGCGAGCTTTTTTTTCCGCGAGAGGATCCAAGATGCTCCTCGATGGCCCTCGCCGAGGACATGTGCACACGCCCGAGCGATCCCCCAAAGAGGTCCACCTCGACCGCTCCCCGATACCGCCGGGTGCGACTCCGAGGCGGCGGAAGTGGGCACCTGTCCCGGCGGTGGAAGGCGGGCGGCCGTCGCAGAAGGCGGGGAGAGCGCCCACGAGGCGGCCGGGGGCCTCCCAGCAGAACCAGGAGGCCTCCAATAGCGGGGATCTGACGATCCAGGAAGAATCCGGCAGGGCTGGACCTAAACGTTGTTTTGTTTTCGTGTGGCTCTACCTGTTTTCCTGTACCTCCCTCCCAACACGAAAAAGCAAAACACGGCCGAAGTCCAGCAAAGCAGCGCCAGGGTCCAGCCCTGGAATCCAGACCCGGGTCAGTGGGGCCTTGCAGGATCCTGCGCGAGGTCCCGGGGAGGTCCCGCGCCCGAGCCCAGGTCAGTGCACCCCTTGCCCTGCGGGGCCCTGCCGGATCCGGCGCTGGGACGGACCCCCGTCTGCACGGATCCCCGTCCCTTGCGCCCCGGCGCGCGCCGCCCTCCCCCCGGCCCCAGAGGGGAGAGGATGACGAGGAGGTGCGGGAGACCGCGGGTCTCCAACCACGAGCAGCTCGCTATCGCTCGGACGTCCCCTCCCCGTGCATCTTGCAGGTCTCGCGCGTGCTTCTGCTGGCTCGATGATCTGGGCTGCTCCTCGATGGTCGTCGCCGTGAGAAATGCACGCGTCCGACCGATGCCAAGACAGCTCCGCACCCTCGTGGCGGTCCCTGCCCTGCGCGCGCCGCCGGTGCTCCTCGAAGTCGGTCTGCAGGCCCACGCTGTGGGTCTCCACCCTGGGCGCCACGGCCGCAGCGCTCGGTGGCGGCGGCGGGGGGGCTGCCCGCTGCAGGTCCTGGCGCTCCGGAGGGGGGGGGGGCGGGGGCCAGCGGCAAGACGAGGCCAGGACAGGGACAGCGTCGGGCAAGGACAGCGTCGGGGATCTGCTGACCCCGGTCAGTGCAACCCCGGGTCAGTCAGGCTTTGCAGCGTCTGGCAAAGTCCTGCAGGATCCTGCGCGCAGCCCCCAGGTCAGTGCATCCTTTGCCCTGCAGAAACCTGCAGGATCCAGCGCTCTGTACGACCCCCGTTTGCATCGGCCCCCGTCTCTTGAGACCCGGAAAATCGAGATTCCCTGAGACCCGGCGGTTCCCAAGACATGCGACGTCCTGATGTTTTCAGCACGGGGTATCCCTGGAAGTCCCGACCCTTTCCCCTGGACTGCCTCCTCATTCCCGAACCGATGCTGACGGTCCTGGGGCCCCGTGAGGCCCCCCAGAGGCCCAAGACGCTACAATAACCTTCCGCAGGAGGAGGAGAAGGAGAAGGAGGAGGAGGAGGAGGAGGAGGAGGAGGAGGAGGAGGAGGAGGAGGAGGAGGAGGAGGAGGAGGAGGAGGACAAAAGGAGCAGAAGGAGGGGGAGGAAGAGGAGGAGGAGGAGGAGCAGGAGGAGGGGGAGGAGGAGGATGATGATGATGATGAGGAGGAGGAGGAGGAGGAGGAGGAGGAAGAGGAGGAGGAGGGGATGATGATGAGGAAGGGAGGAGGAGGAGGAGGGAGGAGGAGGAGGAGGAGGAGGAGGAGGAGGAGGAGAGGAGGAGGAGGAGGAGGAGGAGGAGAAGGAGGAGGAGGAGGAGGAGGATCGCGGGCATGTCAGGGTCTGGGGGCGGCCTCGGGCGCCGCGGCCTCCTCGGAGCGCTCCGGTGCCCCAGCCACGCCCGCTCGGGGCCGGGCCCGCTCGGCGGCCGGGCGGGCTCCACTGCCGCGTCTCCCGCTCGGCGGCCGGGCGGGCCGCGGGGCGCTCCGACCTCTTCGGTGCACGGGCCCCGGGAACTCTCGGCGGCGAGCCCAGGGGGGAGGTGAGAAGGAGAAAGCTTTCTCAGGAGGTTTCGGAAGTCCCCTCGGCCCTGTAAGGAGTATTTTCTGAGCCTTCCGCGAAGACTGACAACATACTTTTCAGAAGGCGCGAGGGTTTCTAAGAAGTCCCGCCGCCTCCTGAAAAGGCCTTTTCCTTCTCATTTCCCCTTTTCGCTCGCCGCCGAACTTCCCGACCCGGGGAGGGAGGCAAAGGACAAACTCACATTCCCGCGGCTTGGCGCTTTCGCGGAACAGTTGCGGGGGGTGGGAGGAGGGGGAGAGCAGGGGGGAGGGAAGGGAAGACTGCGCGGGCACTGCCGCGGCGCTCAGCCTCCTCCAGTTTCCTGGGCCACAGTCGCCGTCATGTGGCCGAAGAGCAGCACGAGGAAGGAGAGGAGGAGGAGGAGGAGGCGGAAGAGGAGGAGGAGGAGGACGACGATGAGGAGGAAGAGGCGGATGGCCGTAGCAATCTTGGCTCAAGGTTTAAACCCGAATTCGTGGGAGCTTCAACCTTAGTTTTCCGCTGTGTGCGGCAACGATCGAGGGAACGCCCCAACACATCAACAGTCCAGCTTCAATGTTGATCATCCAACTTCAATAATTCGGACAGATCGGGACACCCCGGAACATGTTCGGCGAGGCGCAGCCGCTGAGACGCTTCCTGACGCTGGAAGACCGCCAAGAACCAACGAACATGCCAGAACAACTCAAACCCCAAACCCAGGGCGGAGAGTGGGCCTCTTCCTCAGAAGGATTAAAAAACTTCTGGCCTTCTGAGAAGTTGTCTAAGCCTTCTCGGGCATCGCAGAGGGTTGTCGAAGGCCGGAGGGCTTCCGGAAAACCGCGCCACCTTCCGAAAAGGCCTGCCCCCTTTCGCCACCCCCTCCGGTCGCCCCGCCGAAATGAAGATGAGGATGAAGATGAAGATGGTGAGGATAGTAATGGTGATGATGACGATGACATGCTGATGATGATGGCGGCGGTTTCTCATGATGGTGTCGCTGTTTGTGGTGATGGTGGTGGTTGTGACCCTGAATATGCTGATGGTGATGATGATGGTGGTGATGTTGGTGATGCGACTGGTGATGGTCATGGTGGTGATGTTGATGGCGATGGTGATGCTGATGATGCTGATGCGAATGCTGTTGAGGATGACGGTTCTGCTGCTGCTGCTGCAGATGGTGGTGATGATGATGATGGTGATGTTCCTTGACGTCAGGACCAAGCGGGAGGCTGCGCAGGTTGGAAACATAAATATGATGCCCGTCGCAGAGAGCCTGTGATTCTCGAGATGCCGGGCTCGGGGCTGCGCCAGGAAGGTGCTGGCACAAGGGGCTGCGCTGCGCTGCCTCGGGACGGTGGGGAGGAGAAACTACCCGCGCATAAATGTGGCGGCCTCATCCTCGGCGGCTGCGTCATTCCAAAGCTCATCGATCGGGGCCTCCTCTGCTTGACTAGAACTGTCCTAGGCCTGCACTGGCAAGTCCTGAGGCGCAGGAACTGGGCACGAGGAGGCATGCTCGATACGAACGCCGCTGCTGATAGCTGGAAAAGGCGCGCCTCCCACAAAGTTCACTGCTCGAGCGTCTCCAGCCAGTGCGCGACCTCCTCCTCGAGCCATCCTGCTGGCGCCACTCCACTATAGCGAGTCGAGTTGCCCTCCGACGCCAGCGACCTCTGGATGAGAGAGCGGCCCCCCCATGTGGTGGCCCCGATTACGGGCTTCGTCTTCTCCGTATCGTAGCAGCTCTCGGGTCGAATAGAACTGATGGCGAGCTGCAAACCGTCCTTGGACACTTCGACCTCGAGCTTTTCCTGATCCGCTGGCTGAGCTTTTTCCAAGACGCCGCGACCTCGGCCTTGAGCTGCCCCCCGGCGCCGCACTTCTGGAGTGCCTCCAGGGTCACGAGACCCGATGGCGGAGCTGGCGGCCCGATCTCCTTCAGGCGCTGCTTGCCCTCGGCGTCGCCACTCCTGTGCAGCTCGTCGAATGTCCGCTCGTAGCCCTCGAGCTCGAGAGAGATCCCGTCGATGACGGGGCGAGTGCTGCTCATCGTGTACGTGTCGATGCCTATAATGTTGTAGAGCTGCGTCTATAGAGAAGCCTGGGGAGGAGGAAGAGGAGGAGGAGGCGGAGGAGGAGGAGGAAGAGGAGGAGGAGGAGGAGGGGGAGGCGGAGGAGGAGGAGGAGGAGGAGGGGGAGGAGGAGGAAGAGAGGGGGAGGGGGAGGAGGAGGAGGAGGAGGAGTAGGTTGAGGCGGAGGAGGAGGAGGAGGAACGTCGACCTCACGAAGGCCAACCAACTGTTGTCTTTGCTGCTCCATGCCTTCTCGCCGGGATCGCCGCGCCTCGCCCCGCGGCCTCCTCGCCGCCCCTTCCTGCGAGGCTCCCGCGCGCCCTCAACCCCGCCCGCTCCCGCCGGAGGGTGCTGCGCCCCTGCGGGGGGGGGGGCTGCTCTGCTCCTTCCGCCCTCGGCGGCGGCGGGCGCGCCAGGGGAGGGCATGGCTGCCGGTGGCGCTCCCCGAGTCCCATGAGGCCCGTGAAGAGTCCGGGGGGATGCGCCAGCCCACTCGTGGAGGCTTCGGCGGCAGGGCCTTCCCGCCTTCCGCCACTCTGGAATCGGAGGAGGCGGCAAGGCAGGTGCAGCTGTCAATGTAATGGTCCTCGGGATGGTTGCAGATGCCGATGGTGTTGCCGCCGCTGGTGGTCTGCTACGATTGGTTCTAGGAGCTCTAGTGCTAAGAATGAGATCTGCCGAACGTCGAAATGCAGCAAGTGTGCCGGGTGAATCTTCGATCCGCAAGGGTCGCCAAAGAGGAACGTAGCTAGATACGCGTGGCGTTGGCGGTGCTGGGCCCGAGCGTGTCGAGCGTGCCTCTGACCTGACAACTAGCTTGAGCAACGAACCCGATGGCGACGGAGGTAGATGTACAAGTATGTGGGATCGTCGTTGATGTTGGTCGTGGTTTTCATGCTGCCATACAGGGTCAAACTCATATTCACGTAGTGGACACGTGGTACATGCGGCTAATAACCACGGGTATATATGATGAGTAAGTTATGGTATGCGCATGCCTGCCTGCAATGCTCGTCGCAAGTGTCGTACTGCATGATCTGTATTAGGGAATGCATTTTGACAGACTGTGCATGTGTTGTTTAGCTGGAGTGTGGTCAGTAATGATTGTAGCTCATGTCCCTCCTCCCTCGATTTTGATTGATGCACCACGAGCTGTATAGGGTCCCGAAAGATTTGCTACGAGACTCTATGTTGCATATGGGCGGCCATATGGGTTTCGTCATCGCTATCGGTCTCGTCGAGGGACACCGCTGAGGGGAGGAGGTGGGCGAGCTAACTGGTTCCTGGAGGGGTCCATTGACAAATTCAGAACGAGGATCGAAGAGCGCGCACATCACACACTCGTCCTCCCACAGTTTTTTCACGACGGGCGGCTGCCAAGTCTCCTGGAAACTCTCGCTGATGGGGTACAAGGCCAGGCACGAAAGGTCATACGCAAGCTGCTTGGCGCACGGGTGGATGTTCGAGTCGGCCGCGAGAGCGCCCTGCGAAATGAGGGTGGCTGCACTGACTGGGCGGTTGCCTCTGGCCGCCTGCTGCTCGAACCTGCATCGCCCGAAAAAGGTAGCGAGAACATGCCCATGATGGACAGGGGTGTTCGCCATGCTCTGCCACTGGCTCAGCCTGCGCACGAGTAGTTTTATTATCGAAGGAGCGATCTGCCACCCTCGACAAACCTGATGATGCTGATGATGATGATGATGATGCTGATGCTGATGCTGATGTTGACGACGAGGATGGGGATGATGCTTCCTCTCGCTTCCCCCTGGGTGCGCCGCCGAACTCTTGAGCTGGGCACCAGGCGCCACCCCTTCCTGCAACTATCTTGGCTCGAAGGTTGGGCGACTCGCCGCTCCGGCTCCTGCCCCTCCCCCGCGGACTCATCCTCCAGCTCCTCCTGGTCCTCCTCCTCCTCCTCCTCCTCCTCCTCCTCCTCCTCCTCCCTCGCGCTCCTCCTCCTGCTCCTGCTTCTCCTCCTCCTCCTCCTCCCTCCCGCTCCCGCTCTCCTTCCTCCTCTTCCTCCTCCCTCCCGCTCCCTCCCTCCTCCTGTCCCCCAACTGCCTGGCCACCCCCTGGAGCCTTCTCAGACCTGAGGGGGCCAGGGGGCATTCGGGGGCTAGGTCACATAATTGAATTCGCGCATCGCGCATGGCGCCCCGCGATGCGCGGTTGTTTTCGCGCTCTTGAGAAAGATCTTGGTAACAGGGGCAAGCGGGGAGAGGAGAGGAATAACATAACAGATAACATCGAATTGCGAATTCGGATCGGGCCAGAACATGCATCGAATCGGGCGGCATCGACAGGGAGCCGGGGTCGAATCGAATCGGCCGCGCCAGGATGCACAACAACGCCGTTCAAGCATCGGGCCGCATCGGATCGTCGGAATACCAGAGCCCACTCGGATCGGGTCAGACAAAATCCGCCGACCATGTCGGCGTGTGGATGACGCTTTTCCGTTCGTCGTCTTCGTCTCCGAGGGCGCCGAATCGCCGAACGATCGGTACAACCGTCGCCGCTGCTTTCCCTTCCCTGGGCCCTCCCTGGGCTCCCCTCCTCAAGCGCGCCAGTCACAACGAAATTGAACTATCCCCCCCTGGCGATCCCTGCCTGGGCTCCCCTCCTCAAGCGCGAAGTCACAACGACATTGAACAACGTCGTAGTTGAGTCGAAGGGAAGCCCTGCCCTTTGATCCCTTCCCCGCTGGGAGGGGGGGGTTCCCGTGTATGTGGGGGGGGTTCCCGACCCAGAATACCATCTCCCCCTGGCGACCCCTCCCTGGGCTCTCCTCAAGCGCGCCAGTCACAACGAAATTGCACAACGTCGTAGTCGAGCCGAAGGGAAGCTCCTCTCCTTTGATCCCTTCCCCGCCGGGACATCCCAGGAAGCCTCCTAGAACGCCCTCAGGCCACCACAAATGGCCCCCAGGAGACCCAAGAAGGACAAAAAGGGCTCCAAGAGCGCCCCCAAACGGCCCAAGACGCCATCCACAGCGCACCCATTCCCGTCGAGAGCCCAGGCCTCCAGGCTCGGCGGCACCCGCCGTAAGGCCTTCGCAATCGATATCAATCGAATCGAATCGGATCGATCGCATCGAACTGGCGGACCCTGGGAGGGAGGGAGGGAATAGAGGAAGGAGAAACTGCGTAACCATAAACTTCCGGAGGTCCGCGCGGATTTGTTGGATCTGCGCCGCACCCCCCTCCCTGGCGCGCGGAGCGCGCCAGGGGCGGCGCTGGGGGCACCGCCCAGGGGGTCCAGCGCCGATCCAAGAAATCCGTGCGGACCTCCAGAAATTCGAACAAGGGATCGACTAACTACATAATTTGTATACCTCGGAATCACTTTGTTCGTCGAATCCATGAGAAAAGCGCATGGTGTTTGCAGATCTAGGAGCATTCCACCTCTGCCTCGACGAGACAATCAATTTCGGAGTAAATCAATTGTGTAGTCGACCTGCTACTCGAAACATGTATTCTTATGTGGTTGCTTCTTCCCCGATGGGGGAGGGACCGGCGGCGAGCTGGGAGGATGTGAGGAGGGGCAGACGCTCTCCAAGGGCGCCGGGCCTTCTCGGACCACCCTTCTCGCCTTCCGAGAAGCCGTCCCTGCCCTCGGAGAAAGCTCGGCGAATTTCTCAGCAGGCGGATGGGGGGGCTTCTGCTGAGCAGGGACCGAGTGTCACGGCATTCCGGTAATTCTTAGAACCCCAAAACGCTCTAAGAGCAAAAATACTGTCCTCAGAACATCAAGTCGATGTCGGAACAAGACAGTCTCAGCCAGACATGTTCTGAGAACAGATCGTGCAGACCACAGATGGTTCTTAGAGCATCTGCGGTGGGCCTATGGGCAAGCCAGGGCGCTTCGCCACTGCTCGACTCTGAGCCTTCTGACCAGGCCCATTCCCCCGTCCCGCTTCCCCCCCTCGGCGCGCCGCCGCAGGCAGGGAGGGAGCGAGGGAGGCCTCGACGTCCCCAGTAGACGAGCGCGTTCCACTACTCGCAAAGTAACTACTCGCAAATGGCCTGGATCCCCCGCGGAGGATCTACGACACATTCTATCAAGACAGACATGTGTTTTTCGGACGTTTGCGAGTAGGCACTTTGCGAGTAGTGGAACACGCTCGGTGACCCAGGGAGGGCAGGGAGAGAGACGTGGACCAGGGAGGAAGGCAGGACAGGCAGGGCAAGCAGGGAGGCAGGAGCGGCTGGCAGGCAGGGCGGGAGGCAGGGCGGCAGGCAGGCAGGAAGGCAACGGAGGGAGGCGTGGAGAGGCAGGCAGGGAGGCAGGCCGGGGAGGCAGGGGGAAGGCCTCCTCGCCATCTCCCCCCCCTCCTCCCTCCCTCCCTCCCTCCCTCCCTCCACAATTACTCAATATGAATACTACTCTCCCTCTTCCCCTGATGACGGCCTGGGAGTGTCCGACCCCCCCCCCGCGTATTGTTTTTTTTACACACAGGTTTCCCCGAAGTTGGGTTTTCGCCTGCATTTGTTTTCGAAATGCTGCTCTCGCTGAGGCGCCGGCTTCATTTTCGGGCCCCGCTCGTTCCGAATCGTGCTCCCGCTGCAGCGCTGGCCTCTGGCCTCATTTCCGCGCTTCCGCTCGTTTCGAGTCGTGCTCCCGCTGCAGCGCTGGCGTCATTTCCCGTGCCATGCCACGGCATGCAATGCAATGCTCGGTTGATACTACGCTTTACGGTGCTCTTCTACGCCATGCCATGCCGTGCTCTACAACGCATCGCGTACCCTTTCGGGATCATTGCCCTGCTCGACATCCGACTGTGCGAGTAGAGAGGGGATCTGCGGCATGGTAAGGGATGGGAGGGAGGGGTAGGATGTCAGATATGACGCGAGCGCACCTAGCTTGCTTCCCTCCCCTCCATCCCCTCCCTCCCCCCCTCCCTACTCCTCCTCCCTCCCTCCCTCCCCCCTTCCCTCCCTCCCTCCTCCTCCCTCCCTCCCTCCCTCCTCCTCCCCCCCCTCCCTCCCTCCATGTCTCTTTCCTCCCCCCCCCCGGCTCCGAGGCCGCCGTCCTGCGGCACCGCCAGGACGGCCACGAGCGGCCCGGCCTCCGGCGGGGGTGGGGGAAGCTCCGTGGAGCAGCGCGGGGCGGGGTCGCGGCGAGCGGAGGCAGCAGGACGTCTTGAGGTTTCGGAGCTGGCGAACGGGGGGAGGAGGGCGTTTCGAGGTTTCGGAGCTGGCGAGCGGGGGAAGGAGGGCGTTTTGAGGTTTCGGAGCTGGCGAGCGGGGAAGAAGGACGCTTTTCAGCAGATTTTCGGAGCCAGCGAGCAGGGGAAGGAGCACGCCTTGAGGTTTCGGAGATGGCGAGCGGAGGAAGGAGGACATCTTGACGATGTTCGGAGCCAGCGAGCGGGGGAACGAAGGCGTGTTGAAGTTTCTGAGCTGGCGAGCGGGGGAAGGAAGGCGTTCTGAAGCCTCTGCCGACCACACCCCCCACCCCTCAATCTTGGGATACAGTAGGAGCTCGACCAGAAGAAACCTTGCACAAGAAACCCAACCCTGAGACCCCAGGACGTCCACTGATTTTTGGTGTGGGAACCTCACGCTTTCCACAGCAAAGCCATCGAAACTTAAGAAACCCAAGGCACCCTGGAGGCAAGCAGGGTGTTTCTTGGCACAGGCTTCCACTGTACCTCCACCTCCTGGGTAGCGTTAGGTCGGGCATGTCCCCCTGCAGGCGCATTTTGGGCGAAGAATGCAAAAATACCCAGCAATGCCCCACAATGATCCAAAAATGCTAAAACACAAATCTTCTCCCGACTAATTTTTTTGGACTGTCTCTGAACATTCCTCCTGTCGAGGGACACGCCCGACGTACGGGCAATTAGCCAGGGCCAAAGGGCGGGAACACGGCGGCGCGGCAGGCCCCTCCGCGCCCGGGGCCACGAGGCCCCCGTGCCGCGGGACGCCCTCGCGGGATGCGCCCAAGGAGGGGCCGCTCGCCGCCGGCCCCGGCGCGCTCGGCCGGCGGCACCCGTGGTCCGCCTGCAGCTTCCGGGCGCCCTCTTTCGGAGGTCCATCGGGGGCGCGCAGACACGGGTGAGCGATCCATGGACTTGGCGCGCGGTCGCCAAATCCATGGATCGCGGAAGGTGCCCTCCCCCAAAATGCGGCCGATGACGCCTCGTTCGGCGGCGGACATCCGCGATTTCCCATGGACATGGGACCCGCCCGCCCTGCTGAGTGTTCCGGCCGAAGTCGTCGTCGTCGCCGCTGTCGTCGTCGCCGTAGCCGTCGTCGTCGTCGCCGTCGCAGGCCGGAAGCGGGGCCGTGAGGGTCGAACTCCATCCCGGACTTCCACTTTCGAAGGGAGTGAAGGGGGTCCAACCCTCCCCAGGGTATGATGGGGGGAGGTGCTCACCCCCACAAACCGACCTTTCCATCACAGCGGCAACTTCCTTCCAGGTCTCGTGCGAACACGTCGAATACCCTAAGGTCCACAGGGCCGGTTTTCCAGTCCCAACATCAAGTTAACATCAAGGACTATTTTATAGTCCTTGGATATATATGAATTGTTGTTGTTTTCGAATCATTTTACACATTCTATTAAACTTAGAACTTGAATTGTATTTTCACTCGGAAACGAACATGTGTGATGTATTCGCGTTGACGCAAGACGCGCGCTGGCGATGCATCCCCGCAGTGCGGTTGGCCACCTATTCGAACGCTTGAAAAAAACAAGAAGGAGGCGGAGGAGGAGGAGGAGGAGGAGGAGGAGGAGGAGGAGGAAGAGGAGGAGGAGGAGCAGGAGCAGGAGCAGGAGCAGGAGCAAGAGGAGGCGGAGAGAGAGAGAGGGAGGAGGAAGAGCAGGCGAGCAGGGGCAGGAAGAGCAGGAGGAGCAGGAGCATGAGGAGGAAGGAACGAGAGAGGAAAGGAAATGGAGGAAGAGGATGAGAAAAAGAGGAGGGAGAGGGAGGAGGAGAAGGAGGAGGAAGAGGAGGAGGAGGAGGAGGAGGAGGAGGGGGAGGAGGAAGACGAAAAGGAGGAGGAGGAGGAGAAGGAGAACAGGAGGAACAATTGAGGAGGAATGAGCATGGAGGGGGGGAAGGAAAGAGAAGAGGAGGGGGGAGGACAAGGGGAGGGGAGAGGGGAAGAGGAGGATCGACGACGAGGAGGCGGAGGAGGACGACGGGGCAACAACGAAGGGCCCCTCTCAAGGAACAATCGTTTTCTCATCTCTTGCCCTGGATCGTTCGCGCCTGAATTTCCGAGCAAATCCAAACCGTGCGTCGAGGTATAACTTCCCGGGGGCAAAAAAAAACATTGAAAAAAACAAGATGCCTCGACCCTCGATCCTCTCGCCCCCAAGGTGAGCGATGGACGGAGACGGATGAGCGGAAACGGATGACACCCGAGCGATCTCCCGCGACGATGTCTCCGCGTCGCCTCGCATGCAGCGTCCAGAGAAGGTCCCGTGGAAATTGACACCGTCTTCGGAGTCGACTAGAACCTAAGCGCGCGCGAAGCGCGCGCGTGGTTCTAGTAGACCATATAGTGCGTCTGAGAGCAGAAGAGACCAGAAGGGCAGAAGAGGCCAGCAGAGACCCGGAGAGAGGAGCAGAGACCAGCTGAGGCCGTGCATGAGGTGAACAGGCGGGATGGAGATGAGTGGGGGGGGAGAAGGAGGAGGAGGTGGAGGTGGAGGAGGAGGAGGATGAGGATGGGAAAAAAGGACGAAGATCAAGAGTAGAAATTAAACAAGGAGGGCGAGCAGGAGAAGGAGGAGACGGAGGACGAGGACAAGGAATCGCAACAGAGGGCGAGACGGGGGGTTCGGCCAGGGCGAAGAGTAAAGAGCGAAACGCAATCTGAAATGATTATCATTTGGGGTCCTCACGCGGGGACGTCTCACGCGGGGTCACGCCAAACAGTCGGTGGAGGAGGGGGAGGTGGAGGAGGGGGAAAAGGACGAAGATTAAGTGGGGTCCTACGGTCGGCGTGATGTTTGTTCTCAGCGCATGTGTGGGTTCTGAGAACATGTCGTGGTATGCCTTTACGACTGCGGGACGGTCGGCGTGGTAGGCCTTTTCACGACTGCTGGGGCGGTCGGCCTTTGCTCAGGAGGAGGAGGAGGAGGACCCTAGCGCCTTCCGAAAAGTCTCTTCTGCGTCTTCAGGGAAGGCCTCGAACTTCTCAGAAGGCTGGCGGACTTCCGAGCCATCTGAGAGGGCCCGCCAGGACGAGAAGCAGATTGGCAGGAGGAGGAGGGGGAGGATGAGGGGAGGAGGAGGAGGAGGAAGAGGAGGGGGAGGAGGAGGCGGATGGGGAGGAACAGAAGGAAGATCAGGTGGAGGAGTAGGGCGAGGAGGAGGACGAGGAGGAGGAGGAGGAGGAGGAGAAGAAGCAGGACTGAGAGGAAGCAAGGTGAGCAGGATAGAGGAGGAGGAGGCGGAGGAGGAGAAGAAACTGAGATGGAGGAGGAGGAAGGACATGATGAATGTTCCCTCCTGGGCAGCGCCGCTCGTTAATTCGATGAGCAGGCGAACGCGCTCCTGGTGACGTCGAAGAGATTCCATATCCTGGTCTATGTCCGCGTCTGCCAGGTCGGTAAAAAAAAAGGCGAGCGAGGGCGAATCATCTTGCGACAGAAGCACAAACGCGATCAGCTCGGGGCTTCGAGCCCCAATTATGAAGAGGAAAGCTACCCTGGAAGACATCGACGGCGACCACTGAGAGGAGGGGGCGGAGGAGGAGGAGCAGGAGCAGAACGGGGAGAAGGAAAATGAGGAAAAGGAGGAGGAGGAGGGGGAGGAGGAGGAGGAGGAGGAGCAGGAGGGGAAGAGGATGAGGAGGTGGAGGAGGAGCAGCAACATCAGCAAGAAGAGGAGGAGAAGCAGCAGCATCAGGAAAAGGAGGAAGAGGAAGAGGAGGAGGAGGAGGTGGAGGAGGAGGATGAGGACGACGACGAAGAGGAGGACGAGGAGCAGCAGCAGCAGCAAGACGGGGCTGCTCCTTGTGCACCCGCCCCCCGCTCCAGTGTTAGTCGAATCGGCTATCTTTCGTACCTCCCTCTCTGAACCCGTCCTCCTATGCCTCCCCCCGTGGCCCTCGCCGTCGCCCTCCATGCCTCGCTCCCTTGCTCAATCCTCGCCCTGTTTGTTCTGCCAGCGCTCACCGTTACCTCTGTCCTGGCATTAGGGCCCGGGGAACCCTGCGAAAGGGGGGGGGGCACATCCAAGGGCGAGGACCCAACAGAACTTGAACGCGGGCGGTGTCATCGATGACGTCATCGCGATGACAGTGCGATGACGGTTCGATGACGTCCTCCTCCCTCTCCCCCTCCCCCTCCCTCCCCTCCCCCGCCCCCTCCTCCTCCTCCTCCTCCTCCCTCTCCTCCTCCTTCCTCTCTCCTCCTCCTCCTCCTCCTTCCTCCTACCTCCTCTCCTCCTCCTCCTCCTCCTCATCCTCCTCCCTCCTCCTCCTCCTCCTCCTCCTCCTCCTCCTCTCCTCTCTCCTCCCTCCTCCTCCTTCCCTCCTCCTCCTCCTCCTCCTCCTCCTCCCTCCCCTCCCCCTCCTCCTCCTCTTCCTCCCCTCCTCCTCCTCCTCCTCCTCCTCCTCCTCCTCCTCCTCCTCCTCCTCCTCCTCCTCCTCCTCCTCCTCCTCCTCCTCCTCCTCCTCCTCCTCCTCTCTGTCCCTTATTGGGGCTCTCTGTGTACATCTCCCAGTCTATGTCATTCGAACGCCCATGCGATCTGTCTAGATCACCCGTCTCCTTCTCCGACCTGTAGCCGCCTCAATACTTCCGTGAGAAGTGATGGGGCCGCGGGGAGGAGGCGGGCGTTCGAACGTGTCGCATGGGCTTCCGGACTCAGATATCCGTTTTCAAAGAAAGCTAGGTGGCCGCGCTCGTGCACGTCCAGGGGGGGGGGGCGCCATAGTTACCCACAGCGCGCCCGAGCTTGTCTAGATCGAGCTGGAGACCACGCTCTCAGCTCCAGGCGGGCGAGGGAAGTGTGGGCAGGGTTGTTGCAGCATCTCCTCCTCCTCCTCGTCGTCCTCCCCCGTCTCCCCCTCCAGATGCCCGAGCTCGGGAACAGCTGACTGAACTCAAGACCTCTTGCCATTAATGCGCCTGCGCGCGAGCAAGAGGGTCCTAGAAACCGTCGCAGCACGGGATCGCAGCTCATCAATTGTGCATTTCGCGAGCGAGGATGTGAATTCGACCGGGTAGCGAGCAGAATCATTCATCATTTTTTTGTTCCCTGTAACCCACATCTTGTTCTTCCCAAGGCGTTTCTTCCGAGACGATTTGGCAGTGCACACCACCAGACTCTTGCGCCTCTTGGCGCCGCCTAGATTCTCCCGAGCCTCCTGGAACGTCTTTCTGATGCACGAAATCTGGTGGGGGCCGAAGTTAGTGTAGAACGCGTCAGGCTTCATGGTGTCACCCCCCCAGGCGCCCATCCAGGTCACGACCCTTTGAAGGCGAGATGCGTCAATACACCACGCCATTGACGGAATCGAGTAAAGAAGAGAATTGAGCGGCTGTTCCACCGTGATCAGCACGCCTCTCATGGTAGCAACGTTGATCATGTACGACCTTTAGGCTCACTCGTGACTAAATCTGAACACATATTGCTCCTGGTGTCAACGCCCTCCTGCTCCTCCTCCTCCTCCTCCTCCTCCTTCTCCGTCTCCTCCTCATCCTCCTCCCCGTGTGCCTCTTGGGGCTTCCTTGAAGCCTATTGAGGGTTGTTTGGGGGCCTCTTGGGGCGCTTCTTGGGAGCTTCTGGGGGCCTGGGCACTTCCCTTTCTCTCTCCTCAGATTCCCCCTCATTCGTTTCGCCCGTCATCCTCCTCCCCCATCCCTCGCCACCTCTCCAGTTGCGTGTCCTGCCCTCCTCTCTCTCTTGGTATTGTGATGCGGTGCCTACTTAATTTGTACATTCCCAGCACGTTAGATCGGCCAAGAAGTTGGCCATCCGCACGTCGTCCCTGGAATATGAGCCCAAAGGACGCGTCTCAGTACGACGCGTGTGGCCGCGGCTCACCCACAGGAACGACGAGCACGGTGGCGAGAAGTGGGCCGCGCCCGAGGCCACCACCGAGCCCAGCACGTACAACGCGTATAAGATGCCAACCTTGAAAGGCATCTCATTGAAAGGCATCTCTAATCCTCCCTGTCCTGTCCGTCCCTCCCTCCCTCCTCCCCCCTGCCCGCCAACGGTCATCGAGGGTACTTTAAGCACGCCCCGTCAACCACTGTGCAGCCGTTTTCGAGCGGCGAGTCCCGCAAGTCGAATGTGTGTGCAGAATGCCCTGCACGGCGCACTGCTGCCGCCGTGTCGCCATGCCCAGAAAAACACTCAAAGAACGCGGTCGTCCTCGGGATCGACTCGAGCACCACGTTGAATTCTCGCACGCACATTGCCAGCAACGAAGCCCCACTGATCTTCAAGAGGTCGTGATCATTGCCGATGCGCATTGCTGCGCTGACAGCCCATTCTCTCCCAGCGCGATGGTGTGGCGTGCCAGCGTGCACGGCGCAGAACGTGACGCACAGCAAGAGAAATTTCAACCGCATCTCAAGCCTGAAACTATCACCACGCTATCTGTGAGCCCAGGGGCGATGTGAGTACAGAAACCAAGGGCCGCCTGTATGTCCCACAAAGAAAAAACTCTGTGCTCGAAGCGGCAACGGTGAGCGAACATCGCCAGTGACCTCAAATCCTTATTGAGCCCTTCGTCCAAGAAACAATTGTATGCCCTCGGAGACCCGTGTTCATCGACCCTGGGGGAGGAGGTTAATATTTTGTGACTCCTGAAGGTGCGACCCTGGGGGGGGGGGGTAATCTTTTGTGACTCCCAACCGTCTCCGATCCCCTCCTCCACTCCCCAACTCTTCCGTCTTCTTCTATCCCGTGGTTCGCTGCTACCCTACCCGCCTCCACCTTGCTGCGTCCCTGGTCTGCTGCGCTCTCGCCCGCCAGTCGCTGCGCCGAGAGGGGCGCGCGCGGGGCAGGTTCGCTCGGAACCCGACTTGATCAAGACAGGCTCGGGCGCGACTGCAGATCGGGGATGTGCAGTGGGGAGGCGGGTCGAGACAACGAGTGCCCCCCATGTTACATTCCCCCCCTTGGCCCCCTTTCCTTTCTGGTCCGGCCCCATTTCCCCCTTTGGGCGAGATGTGAAAGCCCTGGGTCCTGAAGATCATGTGCACGGTCAGGTGGTGCTTCGGCACCAAGTGTATTTGACACAACAGGCAACAACGAATATGCATGTCCATATGTTCGATCATCTGACGTCTGACATCTTCTGGAACTATCACCCTGTACTCACGAATCAAATTCAGTAGGCCCATTAGCGATACCCCTGCCTGTTGCAAATACGGAGCACTCCACATATCACCCCCGAACTTGGCGACGCAATGCAATGAGAAGGGGAGCATCAGCCCACATTCTGCAGCCTTCAAGCTCATGGCAGAGCCTGCATGGTCTGGCTCCTGAGAGGCTGAAGCGACTGACGATGCACCTGGCATCTGCGATACAAGGCTGATGCATCGCAGATGTCAGGTGCATCGTGATGTCATGGGGGTGTCGTGATGTAGTAACATGATGGTTTAGGGGGTGTCATCGCAGTGTCATCGCCCTGTCATCGCGATGACGTTTGCGATGACATCTGCGATGCCAGTGCGATGACAATGCGATGACAGTGCGATGACAGTGCGATGACAGTGCGATGACACCCGGGAGTGGGCAACGGCATTTCTTAGGGTCCCATAAGGAACCGGTCCGTGTACTTCCGCATGAGGGGACCGGGTTCCACTAGGAGCTGAGGTTATTCAAGACGGGGTGCCAAGGCAAGTGATGGTGAGAGAGGGCGTTGAATGATAATGGGGGGGTCCGCGGGGGGGGCATCAGCTAAGACGGGAACGCCAATGCAATCTTAAGGGGCCGACTGGGTTCTCCCCGCCCCCACTCCGCCCCCGCCCGCCGCGCAGACTGGCATGATTACTGCCCCTCCCAAGGGCTTCGCTCGTGGCCCCTCGGCAATCAATGGTAACCTCTCCGATCCCTCGCGGGCGGTCTGGGGGCAGGTGGCGCGCAGTCGGCGGGCTCAGAAAGAAGGCAGCGAGAGCAAAGGAGAGTGGGGGATTGAATAGAGCAAGAAGGCAGGTGAGAATGAATGAAGGGAGGTGGGAGCTGCAGGACGTTTCAAGGAACGAAGAGCAAGGGGGGGGGAGGAGGAAGGGGGGGGGAGAAGGAGGGGGGAGGGAGAAGAGGAGGAGGGAGAATCGGAGGAGGAGAAATATGAAGCGACGACGACGACGACCCGATATTATCTTTACCCAAGGGTCCTGGATCGTGAAGCCGTGCCTCTTACCGAGCATCTTCGGGGTGAGGCTGTGCAGACGGTTGTTGAAGGGAACGTCGTGCGCGTCTTGCCACGACATGAGTTCGCCCGATAGTTGTCTCACAGCCAGCTCGACCACTTGGTCGGTGTCGCCTGCGAAGCGCCAGTGGTTACTCAGCGCAACGCGCCATAGTACACATGAAACGTATCGCATTATTGGCCCGAAGTAGAGGCAGTGGAGCTCGTCCACCGCAAGGTTCCCAGCTGGAGATGTCCCAAGCGTTTTGTCGAATATAGGGCATCTGTGGGACACGCAATCGAGCGATTTCTTGCCGTGCCTCTTTGTTCTCCAGAGGGTGACCACCAGTGGCAAGGGCGCGGCATCCAACGCGGCAGTGTCCACCAGCGCACGCGATGGTTCCACCCGATCTCCAGCGAGGACTTCGACGTTGCAGATGCGAGCGTCTGCAACAACCACACGGCCTGTGATCGGATCAGATTTCGAAGGTTTTCTCCAACGCAAGACGTTCAGCAAGTTGCGGCGGTCCTCGGGCGTCTTCAAGGGAATGTGAATTTCAGATTTCTTGCGCGCCTCGTAGTAATCGTCGGGCGTCCTCAATTGCCACTGCATATCGTCGCGCATAGTGCTGTATTGCGAGTGTAGCTCAAACTTGCACAGCGTGCAGAACTGACATGGCGCATAGGTGCTGGACCATGGTGCTAAACCTAACGACTTCGCGTGTTCCGACCAGTCACCCTTGATATATATCAGTGCGGCCTTGAAGGTGAGGTTCGGAGATGCGAGAGCTCTCTGGCCCACCTCGGACGACGGCATCCATTGACGGCCATCGTGCATCTGTTGCGGGCGCCGTCCGACGGACATTGCTTCAAACATCCAATTGGCAGCGAGATGATGTGGGAACATATTGCACCAACCTTTGCAGCCGCACTGGCAGGAGTCAGAACTTTTAATCGTGCTGATGAGATGGCGGCGCTTAGACAACAAATTGATACACCATATCCCACAAACCGAATCATTTCTGCCAGCGGCAGGCTGGCGGAACTGCACGCCGTCAAGGTAGTGCGCAAGCGGCAGCGGTGGCGGCTGGTTGTCCCGCTTTGCCTGCAACGTTATTGGGTGATTCTTATACACAGGGAGATTCACAATGGAGTCATCGGGGGCGTCCGCCAAATCGTCGAGCTCCTGTCTCAAAGATGGGTCAGCAATGAGTTCGTCTTCGATGGAGTCCCAAACGCAACGCACGAGGCAAGGATTACTCGTGCGGATTGCGGCTCTGTTGTAGTTGCCTGGTGTTTGAATAGTTGCGAGATGCTTCGGCTCGGGCAGCACTCGATCCAACAATGATTGGTATTCCCCTGTCTGTTGGCCAGGGGGGAGGGCGTAAAGGCTGAAGGACGCCCCAGGTACGTTTGCCCTCTGGGCAAAATAACACGCCTGGCACAACTCTTTGGCAGACAGCTTGGCGGTCGCATAAAGGCGAATGAGCAAAAGAAACAAATCGTGGCCACCATCTCGTTCATCCTGGGTGGTCTCTCGCTTGGGCGGGCGGTGGCGGCTGCTGGGCTGGCGCCTGCGGCCCTTCAAGGTTGCGCTTTTTTGGGGCGCCATGCTTGGAGCCTGAGTTGTTTGAGCAGAGCGGCGTCGGAACGCGGCGCAACAATACATGGCAATTGTTTCGGTGCATATGTGGGGGGATGGCGGCGCCTTGCGCGCGCCGCCAGCCCATATGTTCGAACGAAAACCGACGGTGACAACGACGGCGGCAGGAGGGAGGAGGCGGGTGAGGAGGTATGATAGTACACTTGGGCATGGGCAGTGGAGGAAAGACGGACATGCAGAAAGCGAGATGCATGGGGAGATGGGGAGAGCGAGTGGGAGAGAGAGAGAGAGAGAGAGAGAGAGGGAGGGAGGGAAAGAGAGAAGGGGATAGGGAACGAGAGAGAGAGAGAGAGAGAGAGCGAGAGAGAGAGAGAGAGAGAGGCGGAGGGCGCGATATCCGACGGAAGCCGCGAGCGAGCGGTCTGGCCGCTCAACCCCTCCACGGGCGAGTACACAGGCGACTACGGCCCAGCATAACCAGGGGCGGGGGGAAGTCGCTAGATCCTCCCCTCGTGTCTCGCACACCCCTTGCTTGCGTTAGATATTGGGATGGGGAGGGTGGGGCAGGAACACGACGAGGACACGGGGGTGCGATGAGGAGATGACGAAATCAACCACGAAGTAGGATGGAGCAAAGGATTGGAGGAGCACTGGTAGGAGGAGGAGGAAGAGAAGGAGATGGAGGATCGCAAGAAGCCGAATGGACGGCCGACGGAGAGTGGACGGGCGGCGGTGGCACAAGGTGGAGGAGGTGGAGGAGAGGAAGACGTAAGACGTCGAGGAGGATGTCAGAGCAGTATGTCAACGCAAAGATGTGTCCATGAATGCGAAACGCAATCGAAACGTTCCCAGGGAAAAATGCGGATCTCAAAACACACTCGGACTTAAACTCATAGATTGCTACACATCGGGGTAAGAACTTTGGCATCTCTCAGGCCACGCGAATCAGCCACGTCAAGCCCTTTCTCGACCGAGCTGATTCATTTTCGCGACAGAATCTGGGCCCCATGAGAATCCGCAGCGAAAGCAGGCCTGCCGTGAAAAGACCACGTCCAAGCCTGGTGCATCAGCACTCTGGCTTGCAGCGAGCGGCGCCGAGTACAACTGAGATCTCGAAAGTGCCGTCTCGTGCTAACATTCTGCGGAAGATGCAAAGATCTGCAAAGCCTCCCTGACTGCGCGAGCTTGGAGAGCGAATCCGCTTTTGCTGGCATCACTTCCTGGGCTCCGACCTGGATCTTGTGAAAACGATCATTACTTCGGCAGGCGAATGCGCTCTCCTGCTACGGAAACACAGTGGCTGCAAAGCTCGCGAGTGCGAAATCGCCTCGCAGCCAGCTTCGAATCTCGAAACCAGCGAACCCAGAGCGCCAGCAGGGTGTCATCGGGGTGTCATCGCACTGTCATCGGTCATCGTGTCATCGGTCGCTGTGTCATCGGCCAGGGTGTCATCGGTCATCGTTGCGCCAGCAGTGGGTTTGATGGTAAAAACACATGTCATCGCAGGGGTGTCATCGGTCGCGTCACCGGGTCATCGGTGGCGTCATCGGGTCATCGGTCATCGGGGTGTCATCGGGGTGTCATCGGTCGGATTCCCACCGGGATGCAGTCAAATCTTGTTTCAAACAGGTTCCAGGCGCCCCGCGGGTGCTCAACGATGAAAAAAACCTTTGGAGAATAACCAATTGCGAACAGCCCCCTAAAACAGCTCCCTGGCGAACCCCTAAATGATAGAACACGAACCTAAACCTTCTTGCGGGCCTTCTTGGCGGGCGCCTCGTCGCTCTCGCTATCCTTGTCCCTGATCCTGCTGATGTCGACGACCTTCTTGTACAGCTTGCCGAGCTTGTTCAGGGGGCCATCCAGGGACGTCACCAGGCCGAGCCCGCGGCGGAGCTCTTTGTCGGCCAGCGTCTTCTTGAGCTGGGCGATGTCCGAGGTGATCATCTGATTGAGCAATGCATCCTGGGGCCAAAACGATGTTTCTTCAGAACCCATGGTCCTTGCACGCCCTCCCTTTCAAGGTCTCAGCGTTTCGAGGGTAAGAAATGATGTGCTGGCCCCCAGGGTTCGCCAGAGTTCCTGGGTGAGCATTTAGAATGGCTGCTCGGAGCCTCATATCAGTGGATGGGTTTGGACAGCGATAGTCGCGCCCGCCCCTCCCCCTTATCCCCACTCCCCTACACCCTTCCCCCCTCCCCTCCCTCGCCACGCACCCCCCGCCCCCGACCCCCTCCATCCATGACGGAGGGGGAATAGTTGGAGAGCACGAGCGGGGTAGAGGATGCCATGGGCCAGGGGATCTGCAGAGGGAGGAGGTTGTGGATGAAAGATTACCAGGGGAGGGCTCAAACAAGCATGATGCATGTTGGAAGCATGCCAGCCTGGGGCGGGGTAGGGTAGGAGGTAGAGAGAGCAAGTCATACAATTTCTGTTTTCAAGAATGGGTCCTGGCACGTGCTCCGAATCTCTGCGAACGCGTTCAAAAATTTCTTCCCGTCATCATCCGATTTGACCCACGCCCATTTGGAAACGGTATCCGCGTTGTGCTCAAGGGTGGCCGAAGAGGCAGTCACAGTCGAGTATTTGGACAGAACTTTCCTCGCCTCCTGAATGGCAACGTCCAGCGGCGTTTTCTCTCTCTTGTTGGGCGTCTCCTTCTTCTCTCTCTTCTCTTTCTCATCGCCCTTGCCGTCGAGCTTCGCCTCATCCTCAATCGCCTCCTGGCTCGCGCGCGAGCTCTCGGGGGCAGCGCCGTACTTGCAGTCGTCCTGAGCAGGATGGATTTGGAGGAGGGGGGGCGAGGATTTGGAGGATGGGGGGTGAGGGGGGAGGAGGGGGAGGAGGTGGGGGAGGAGGTGGAGGGGAAGGGGGGATGGGGCAATGGTGAGGAGGAGGAGAAGGAGGAGGAGGAGGAGGAACAGCATCAAGCGACAATGAACAATGGAGGACTTGGCGGGAGGGAGGGGCGACGAGGGCCCACGAGGTCGACGAGGTGGATGGGCAAGGACGAGGTGAATCCGAGGAGAAGGTTGTGGAAGGGCGAATGTGGATACGTGAAGGACTGCCCCCGTCGGCTGCGCCGATCACGATGGCCCCCACCGCGGGCGCGGCCGTCTTGTCCTGAAGTGGGGGGGGGGGGGGGGCGATAGGCACACCAGGTCAAGGAGGAGTGGTGAGGACGGCGACTTTGAGGATAAAGAGCGTGAGCAGGAGAATGATGAGGATGGTCAGCAAGAGGGCGAGCGTTGGGGATAGAAAAGGGGAAGAGGGGCAGGAGGGGGGGTGGGGAGCATGAGGAGGAAGAGGAGGAGGAGGAGGGAGAGGAGGAGGAGGAGGAGGAGCATGATGAGTGGCGCGTGGAAGTCAGGAGGAGAAGAAGGAGGGGCAGGAGAGGCAGGCAGACGGCAGGGAGGGGTGGAGAGGGCAGGTGTCGTTGGATCAAAAGGAGTGGCGGAGGATTCAGACTGTTGTCTCCTGGCCCTTCTGGTTGATCACGACGCCGAGCTCCTTCGCCACGCCAGCCGCCTGCGCGGTGCCCCAGTCGGCGCGAGCGCCAGTGCCGATCCCCCGTTGCGTTTAACGTGTGGGGTGGAACCATCGGCAGGACATCTCAGATGACCTGGAGACGATTCGGCAATGGGGCTCGTGCCGAGTGGGGCTCCATTTCCCCTCGTTGCCTGCTGGATGCGCTGTTCCTTCGCCTTCTCGTCCTCCATGGGCAGCGTGGACCACTCCTCGTGCTCGACCCAGCTGCGCGAGAAGATGTCCACGAAGCCCTTCACCACGTAGAGGCAACGGAGCGACGACTCCTCTGTGGAAGCCAGGCGGGGCGATGGTGCGAAGGCCCCCCTATCCCCCTTCGGGGCGCCCAGTTGAAGGCAGAAGAGACTCACGGCGTTGACCAGGGGGGGGAAGGTAAGGAGGACCAGGAGGACTCCAAGAAGAAGGAGGGGGGTGATTGGGAGGAAGAGGAGGAGGAGGTGGAGGCGGAGGAGGAGGAGGAGGAGGAGGAGAAGGAGGAGGAGGAGAAGGAGGAGAAGGAGAAGGAGGAGGAGAAGGGGGGGGAGCAAGAGCAGAAGGTGGATGAGGAGTAGACGCGGCAGAAATGAGAAATATGGACGCGTAGCAGAGCAGGAGGGTTTGTCAGAGGGTTTGGACAGAGACGTTTCCAACGCTAAGCATAGTGCGTGATATATGGAGTTGGCAGGCAGAGTGAAGGATACGGAGAAAGAGAAAGAGAGACAGAGAGAGAATCAGACAAGGTGGTGGGGCAGAATGTTAAACGGTTGCCCCATATCCGTCATCTCGCAGTAGGCGATCCAGGGTGGACCGAGCTGAATCGCTTTGATCATGTACTTGGACGCCTCTTCAGCTGGAGGGGCGGCGAGAAGGTGGAGAGGCAGGGTGGGCAGGATGAGGCAGGTGGAAGAGGAGGAGGAGCAAGAGGAGGAGGAGTGAGAGAAGGAGGACGTGGTGGAGGGGGTGGGGACGGTGGAGGCTGGAGGGGAAGGATGGGCCAAGAAGAGAAGGAGATGGAATAAGAGGATCGGGGCGGATGACACCGGAGAGCGGCGCGGAAGGTGGACACGGACGGTCCGTGGAGGCCGACGGACGCGTGGGAGGGCGGTGGAATAGGAGGAGGAGGAGGTGAGGAATTGGATGAGTTAGCAGTGCCCCGTATGGCCTGCAGCCACCCTAATTTGCCGCCGCCCTCCTTGTGGGCCACCCTCCCGATTGGGAGGTACCACCCGCTCTTGATCGACTGCTTGGTGAAGCTGGTCGTCAAGCTCTTCTTCTTGACGTACTTGTTGTACTCGCCCTCCGCCCAGTTGCGCCTGAAACGCTCGGCGCCCTCGTCGTCGCCCTGGTAGGCGTCGTGCTCCGCCTTGAGGGAGGGGTCCTTCTTTTTCGCCCTGTCGAAGCGGCTCGCCATGGGGTTGTTGTTCCTGGCGCTGGCTGCGAACACGAAGCCATTCTGCTTCGTCTTCTCCCACAGCTCGTGCTCTTTGCGCTCCTTCTCTGTCATCGGAGCCTGCGCTGCTGCGGCCGCGCCACTGCCGCCAGAGGTGCCCTCGTCGTCGAACTGGCCAGGCGCAGGCACCAAAGTGTCCTTGTCGAACCCCTTGGCGTGCAAGAGCTCGCCGAGACAGTCGCTTGACAGGAAGCCCGTCATCAGGTCGTTGATCGCCAGCTCGTCGGGGACGTCGCCGCCGCGAAGGAGCAACTCCACCTTGGCCACGCACTCGTCGCGGCTGGTCTTCACCTTGCTGACCGTCCTGACCTTCTCGGGCGTGTCGGACGTCTTCCCCTCGACGCCCTGCAGGGCGTTCGGTTTGTCTTAACTGCTCCCCCATCCCCCCTCTTCCCGCCCCCTTCTCCCTCCCGATCCTCCTCCTCCTATTCCTCTTCTCCCTCATCCTTGCGCTCCTCATCTCAAACCTCCTCCCTCCTCCTCCTCCTCCTCCTCCTCATCTTGCTGCTCCTGCTGCTGTTGCTCCTCCTTCTCCTCCTCCTAATCCTCCCCCACTTCCTTCTTCTCATCCTCCTCATCCTTCTCCGTTTGGCGCGGGGCGATGTCTTCGCCCCCGAGACCTGCCACATGGTCTTGAAGGAGTTGATATGCAACGCGGCGCTGGCCTTCTCGCGAGGCTTCGGCGACGCGAGCGCCGTGTCGTCGGCAGCGAGGCCTGTGGACACCTGCGCGCGATCCACGCTCTCCTGCGTCTCCGCCGAGGTCACGGGCATGGGGTCCTTGGACGACCTGGCCATGGGGTGGGGCGGACTCTCAGGCGGCCCCCTGCGCTTGGCGGTCATCTTGCTGATCGCGAGGGCTTCCTGCAAGTCGGCGTCCTCCTTCGCCTTAGCCTCGCTGATCTTGCGCGAGTGCTCCTGGCTCTGCCGCTTAGACTCCTCGAGCACCTGTGCGAGCGTAGCGTCGTCGCTGTCGGCCTCGTTGCCGCCAGTCGATGCGATGGCGCCGACCTCGCCCTCTGCGCCGCTCGCCGCGGCCGCGGCCGCCTCGGCGGGCTCCGCCACCTGAGTCCGCAAAAAAGGAGGAGGGCGGATGCGGAGGGAGGCAATGCAGGAGGAGACGAGGCACCGCAGGAGGATGAGCAGGAGGGCGAGGCGAAGAGAGGAAGGCAAGGATGAGAAAGGGGGGATGATCAGCAGGAAGGAAAGGATGAAGAGGACCAGCAAGATAAGGAGGATATGATTTGGTTTGAAAGCACGACCGTGCCACCTTAGCTGTACTCGCATCCGCCTTCGGCACTGCCACGCGTCTCCGAGTCGAACGAGCATCGATCTTCTTCGCAATCATCTCGACTCGCCTCTTCATCTGGTTCAACTTCTCCTCCTGCTGCATCATGTACATCTCATCGTCCTCCGCTGATACCGTGTCCCCCCCGTTCTCCTCGTCTGACGTTTCAGGCGCATCAGGAATTGAGCCCTTGCGAGGGGGAGTGGCAGCCTCGACGACCGCAGGCTGCGTCACTGCAGCAGCGCCGTCACCGACTTCGTCAGCTTCCTCGGCCTCGGCAACCACGATGGGCTGGGCTGCCTCGCTCTCGAGCTTGACGATGGGCTCGGCTGCGTCTCGACCGTCATCATCGTCGTCCGACTCCAGCAGCGAGGCAGGGGAAGGCTCGGCGCTCGGCACGGGCTCGTCATTGGGCAGAGTGTCCAGGGTGGTGTCCAGCGCTAAGGGCTCGCCGAAGCTGTCGGGCTGCGTCTGCGAGTCGTAAGCTGGACGCGGGGTGGCGCCCTCGAGGCCTTGGTACTGCAGCGTCCCTCCAGAGTCCGCAGGCTGCTGGCTCGCGGTCTGCTGAGCGGACAACATCCGCCCGATCGGGGTGCGAGCGAAGGGGATCCTGGAAAGATTCCCGTTCCCGAAATCTGAACTACCGCGGCGGCCCATGCAGGCCAGGGCCTCGGCTGCCAACGGC